ATCATGCTGTAAATCTGTGGGGGGTGGTTTCTCATGGTCATCACACAGAGTCTCAAATGGAGTGGCAGCCTAGAGGTTAGGGCATAGGGCTTTGAATCCTGAGATTGTGAGTTCGATTCCCCACTCCCACAGACTGCCACTCTGGGTCCCTGAACAAGATCCTTTACTCCACACTGCTCCCCGGGTGCTGCACAATGGCAGCCCACTGCTCCCCAAGGGGATGGGTTAAATGCAGAGAATTTATTTCGTTGCTCTCTACTTGTGACACTGAATGACAATAAAATTGAATTATTATTTTTAAATGGCCTCATTTTGTTTCTAAAACCACCTTTGAGTAATTCTCCTCTTTTAAATATCACCAATTAAGATGATCGTGCTCACACTTCACACAGTTTTGTCTTAAGGCTGAATTTTATACTTTAGTTAATATCATTTTTAGGAGATAAACGTGACTGTTGTAGATCAGTCACAGAATTTCAAATAGAAATAAAACTATTGGCGCAGAGTTCGAATTAAGTGTTAATGAGATTCCCCAGTCTCGCCACATTGACTTATCATTAGTCAGAAAACAGGCCGGTCCCCCTCATGCTAACTCAGTGGAACAAATTCCTTGGGAATCATCCAAAAATCTCCAGAAACCAAAAAGAGAGAAGGAAGCCGTTAAATCATAAAAGGTTGACTTCACTCCTCTGAGTGATTTGCCTTATTGGAACAACATGTCGGCGCTGGACCTTCACAGGGATGCTGGATTGATGCAATATGGCAGAGCTCTTTGACAGTTTCTGTATGTGTTGCAGTGTGGAGTAGAAACGTTAGCGTTAGCCGTTTAGGGTCGGTGTGTCGGGTGAGTGGGCGATTCACTGGAACAAATAGGAATCACTAATAGCCAAGTTTGTAAAGCTCCCTGGAGCTGGTCCCTGCCTGGCACCTGAGGAGAGCGAAGAAGGCCTCCACAGATTTAGACTTGGAAGAGTCGGAGCCTAGCCCTGCGACAGACCAAAGTAGATGCCACTTTTGGTTTTTTTAGCTGCTGAAGCAGGTCCAAATATAAATGAAGGTTTTAGTGCAGCGACCCAAAGCTGTTTGAGGTGTGGTCTGACTTGGCGCGGCGGCCCCTGCACAGCATCACGCACGTCTACTCAGGCTTTAAAGCTGGCGACAGAGGGGACCACGCAGCTTCGTCTACCACCCAGAATAGATGATGATCTCACATTCACTGTCTGTGACCATTATAGGCTAAGAAAATGACAACCTGAGAGAAGCACGTGTCAGAAAACCGCTTAAAAACTAACAAATGAAAACACTTTCATAAAGCCGAGCGAAAGTAGGTGACCTTAGAAATACCAAAGGCCTTTTCCCTGAACTATTTACATGTCCTTCCCCGGAAAAGGCTGCTCTCTTCGTGTAACTGAGCTGTAAACATTAACTGTCTGCCGTCTGCTCATATCTCTGACACGACGCTCCAATCTGTTCGGTACAACGGCTGTAAATCTGCGGTTGAAATCTAAAAGGAAATGAGCAGCAACGATAGTTTCCACGCCACTCGCAGATGTTCATCCCCACTAACCCAAACACTGCCCTGTCAGAGAAATAAGTGATTTATCCCTGAGGATGTGATGTTTATGTTTTTAAAAGTCAATTTTGATTGTGATAAACTGTGTTGAATGTGAGAATTCCCTCTTCAAATAACCAAAAATGACTCTTTAAAATTTTCGGGAGGACTTTAAGAGCAGCTAAAATGGGCAGCCTGCAAAGTAAATTAGTTTAAAAATAGGTTACATGTATTAAAATCTTTTTTTTTTAGTTGCAGAGTAAAATAAGGCTGAAAATGTTTGATAATTTCTTCTTTGTAAATGTTAATTTAATACTGTGTGAACTCAGAGGTGGCATTAAAGCATTTCCTCCTTGAAACTAATTAGACAATTTAAAAAAAGGAAAAGTTGACTTAAACAGAAACATGACATAATTTTGGGTGGAAACATTCCAATTTTTTTTTTTTATCCCTTTATTTGAGTTTTAAAACTCTATAATAATAGTTCATTTTCACCTACCTGTAAAATATTATATAAGAACCGAGAAATGAAAAAGAACTGCTAGAATTGGATTAATCCTGGCCAATTATTTAAGAATATATAACTTAATCCTTATCTGATTTTTCCTTCAAACAAAACTAAAAAAAACATAAAAGCACATATGGTAGGTTGATCATTATTAAAACACTAGGAGTGGTTTATGAAGTTCTAAATTAGAAGGGGAAAAAAGATTTTTGTATATTTTAACTGCTGAGAAAACAATGAAATTTTGATCCCCTGCTGATTATTTGGTGCATCTCTAATATAAACAGTTAATAAAATCCAAAAAATCATAAATAACATCTTGTTTACTCCCAACTCTACCAAGAACAGGTCTGAACAATCTAATTGAAACTTATATGTAGCTTAAATATGCAAAATGAAACTACTTTTTATACTTGGTAAGCCATGGTATTTGGAAAACGTCCCTGCTTTATTCAGGTGAGTGTTTTTTACTACCTGCAGAGTCAAGGTTGCTTATTTATCAAGAGCGAGTGATCATAAATAGGTGCAAGGAAAGCAGAGAGAAGGTGGTTACATGTTTGCTTTCAGTGACAGCGACACTGAGCTGCATTCGCTGTAATCCTCCCTGCTGGTGTGACTGACAGCCACAGGTTTTAGCAACAGACCTACCTTCAAGATTCTGTTGACTGGAAGAAAAGTCATCACCCTAACTACCGGGGCCCATCACATTAAGCTCATCACCCTTGGAAAAGCTGTTTAGCCTACTCTAGATGTGTTGACCTTTTTTACCTTCTGAAGACAATAAGTTTTTGGAGTCCTGCATTTATGTTTGAGGAGCACAGATGTCACTGCCACTTTTCATAAATCTAAAAGCATCTAAGGTGTACATTTATATCTGTAAAATCAATAAGCTCATTAAAAAGACCCACTAGACTTTAGAGTCATGGCACATTTATTGGGGCAATAAACATCTCAAGATAAATAAAAGATCAAATTCTAAAGAGAATTTCAATGTTGTTGAAAATCATGGAAGTATTTGTAATTTAGTCCCAGAAACAGTCATACACTTTTAGAAGTTTGACTCATGGATCCCAGGACATGGCAAAGATTGAGGAAAAACACCCACGCCAAAGGCCATCAGGGCTTCAAGACCAGCAACAAGATTGAAAACACGTGTGCATTAATACCTGCTCAAATATATAGCCTGGACTAACCTGCTAATAGCCTTAATTTGCAAGATAAACAGTAGAAGAGTTTGACACTCACTCACCATAAGGTGCCTTTCCTCTGCTGCACTGCCTCTGCTGCCTTCTGAATCCTGAGACGGAGGGGTGGGGGGGGCGGGTTGACAGCAGCAAAGTTACTGCCTGCCTCTGCTATGCTATCTGTTAAAGTAATTTTCTCTCAAAGAGGAATTAATTTCCTTTCTCAGGCGGCCTACGGAGTCTGTGGCACAGCCTGCGACGTCCAGCTGGATCCCGAGAGTGCGGACATATTACGAGTGTTCCCTCTGTAAAATCAGGCCGAGCTGCAAAATATCTAAGGCAGAAAGAGATTTTCCATTTCTTTTATCCACTCTTTAACGGATTTCTTAAATTAAGCGAACAATACTTCAGGAAAAAAATTATATTTTAACCTCCCAGGTTTAAAAGAAGGCAGATTACTGTATATTTCTTCCATATTATACATTCATTCAAATACTTTTCTACATCAAACATGAAAATTTGACTTCATAGCAAAGACAAACTTAATTATTCTATTTCTGTTCTTATTTATTCTAAACTTGCACATATTTTTCTTGTTTATGATACATATATACATGATATATCTATAGTCAGAGATTTACAGATACATATTTAATCAGTAAATCTGTTAATTTAAAAGTCTTAAATATTTACTGTATTGGGACAGCAGACCTGCCAATAAAGCTGTATAAAATGTTATTTGACAAAAAATGTTCTGAATAGAAAATGAATTCTTTTTCTTTTCACTCCTCTTCTTCTAGTTACTTAAAAGCGAGTCTGATTTTATGACTACAGTGGATGAATGAGAGTAAAATGGATGCATGAATGTCAGTTAATTAATACAGCTAATTTATTCTACACTAATCTAATATTTGAACCAAGATTTTGTATTCAGTAAAATACATCAGCCTCAATGAAGCAAAACAAAAATATTTAATGTCACTTAAACAGGAAATCAAGAACATTAAAAAGCAAACTATGGATGTCAGAGAAAGGAAAAATATAGGTTTTATTTTTATTTTTCGCTGACAGGAACAAATCCTGTTTCAATTACTTTTGTTTTTAAAGCAGTCCTTTTTACCAAAACCAAAATTTCACACACAAAAAAAAAACATTAGCATTGGAAATTAAAGATGATGATTTATTAGCTGCAAAAGTTAAATAAATCCCACCGTTATAGGATAAAGAGATACTCCTTGGGCATACAGTAATATGGAACCTTAGGGTACGCCGCAGGTCATCTGAGGTGATTTGAAACAGAGATCAATGATGGGGAGAAACGTATCTGTGGATAAAATAGCAGGGCTTCTAATAAACAGGATGGATAAGTTTGACAAGGCATCACGATCCAAGGATTTACACACTGCTGTTAATTAAAGTGACAAAAGGACAGGGCAGATACCTACTCAACAATGGAGGAAATGTGAATAGAATGCATGAAAAAATAAAGGAAACCAGTAACGGCAGCAATCATCTCAGTCAACCTCAACCACAGTTAAAGTTGTTGTTTGAGTCCAGTCTGACAAACACAGGGTAACATGCTGGGTTAACCTTTGACACCTCTCCCTTCCATCTCCCACTTCCCCTCATACGACCTCCCTTTCCTTCAGCCCCACCCATGGAGCAATAACACTGTTTTTTAAAGTGGGAGAAAAAAAGGAGATGGGCACAAGAGGTCAAATCCAAGTTCGGCATATATCAGCTGTCTTTCAAAAAGCTCAGCTTTTTTTTAATAGTGTGGATTTATTGTGCTGTGCTTTTTGGAGGATGATCATATATATATGTGGTCAGTAGTGCCTATGCTGTCTGTGACCCAGCCTCCGTCTCACGTTACACCCTATTTATAACATCCCCTTCCCAGGCTCCCCTCGTTCTGCAGCTCCTAGGAACCTCCTGTGCTTCCAGCTTCGAGCTCCACTCCTCTGTTCCTCCTGACATCTGAGAAGTTCTGCAGCAGCTTGTCCTGGGCTAACTGTTTATCCTGCGCAGCCTGCCAACCAGCCGCATGCTCCGGATTACCACAGGACGCCCATTTTCCAGCTCATTTTGCTATTTGATTTATTATTATTCTTTTTTTCAGTTAATGGAAAAAATTAGGAAAAGTAACCTGGATATGTGCTTGTGATCTTTCCATTTGTTGTTTTTGGTTGATTTTCTGACTTTGCTACTTCCACTCACCCATCCCACCCTCACTAGAGGGCCTTGTGAGTTTGTACTCCATGGATCACACACTGTTTGGCTGCCTGCGGAGCCCCCATGCCCCGGCACAGGCTTTGCATCCCGCCTTCACCCAGTCTCCCCTGACGCTCCATGGACGGACGGATCACATCTCCTACCCAGACTTGGCTTCTTCCTCATCCTCCTCCTCTACATCCTCACCTTCTCCATGTGTCATCTCCAGCTACCCGGGCGACGACGGTCTATTTTCTGGGCAGCACCACCACCACCGGAGCCACCTGCCCTCCCAGCAGCATCACCACCAGCCTCAGCACCACGGATCCTGGCACATCCCACAGATGCCGTCACCCGGTGGCGGCGCACGCCACAGCATTTGCCATCCACATCCCCTGTCGTCCCATGAGAACGGGCCCACGCCTCCAGACCTGGGCCACCCCGGTGCACCCAGCATATGTGCCAGCACACCAACTCTGGGTAGTGGCAGCACCCCAACAGGGGTTTCCTGTGTGCCCGCAGACTTCGGCAGACAGACCCTGTCACCCGCTGAAGCGGAGAAGAGGAACGGCAAGAGGAAAAGTGACAGCTCAGGTAAGAAGAATTCTGGGACTAAAAGGAGGAAAATGGAAAAATTGCAGAGGCTGAAAGGTTATTTTTTTTATTCTACATCTGCTTTGAAAAATAATAAATTTTGACATGTTTTAAAACAACAGACTAAAGCTTTAATTCTTCTGAGATCTTTTTGAAAGGTAAATGCTTTAAAATAAATAAGATCTTTTTTCCAAAATTTCCAACCCCAGTTCCAGAAGACCACAAACATCTGTATGCGTCAGTTGGGATCATTCAACAGCTCAGCTGTTGGGAGTTCTGCTGCTCTGATAGAAAAACAAAAAGAGTGTCTGAGAAGCAGTTTGTAGGTGTTGGCTGATACAGGCTGCAGGGGCGCCGAGCAATGGAGCAAAAGGCCATATCATAGCCTCCAAGGCACTTCTTACTCCCGCTGTGTTTTGCTTAAAAAAAAGAATCACATCTGGTTTGTTGCGGCACTCTTCAGAGGGCACAAAATGAGGTGCACAGTAAAGAATTGATGTCATGGACTGTAAAAGGGCTGCAGCGGCGCCTCGTGCCGCACTTAACGCCCGGCGGATGCAGACCTTTCATGCTTTTCCTGCTTAAATCTTGTGGTAAATATAAATCATAGCTGAGTGTGTTTTGAAATTACAATAATCTAATAAAATAAAAATATAGTTTCTCGATTTATTTCAATTACTTAACTTTATATTAATCCCGCCTATTTGAAATGTATTCTCAATTACTACTGAATATCACAGAAGCTTAACTATAACTAACTGACTAATACATTTAGTGTCTGATTTTTTTTTTATTAGTTTTTGTAATATATTTCTAGGTATAAACTTGGAGATTTTAGGCTTTAGGTTTTATTTTATTTTCAAACTTTTACTTCCCAATTTGTTTTTGAAAGATTTTTACAAAAGAAATTCAACATAATAAAAAAAAAGATATTACTTTGATGGCCTACAAAACATTTATGACCTTTAGTAACCAGGATAATCAATCATGGTGTGACAAACGGTCAGGGTCACAGAGACTCATGCTGGAGACATGATATTAGTCAGAGTTTTAAGGAAACGGGTCCTGTCTGTTCATTCTGTCCTTTTAAAGAATGTGAGACTCTAAAGAGATCCATAAACATTTTTGAACAATTTTTTTCCCAACAAATTCCACAAATTTTACATCATGTGGTTAATTAGTTTTGATCAAATAGCAAAATTTTGAATTGATTTTAAAATCAAACAAACGTTTGCGGTGATATACTGTTTTTATGTTTTTATAAACTGTATGTTTGAAACAATCAAATAAACTTGCTCACTACTATTAAGACAAGGCTGAGCAATGGTGCAGCCAAGCAGCGCACAATACCTGCCTTTATTAATATTCTAGAAAACTTTTATAATTTCTACTTTACTCTTAAAACCAAATGTTAATTAAAGCTTATCTGTGACAATTACCATTGACTGTTTTTAATCCTATTTTATTTCGTAATACTTGTGCATAATATTTGTGCTTTTCACTTTTACTGACAGTCTATTGTATTGGTGTTTTTTTTTGTTTGTTTGTTTTTTTTTTTGGCGGGGGGGGGGTTATATTTCAAATCTGGTTGCATTTCCTTAGTTGCTTTATTTATAAACAAAAATAAATAATTACAGTTATAAGCTACCTCAGTAGTATAGCTGTATAATAATAAAAATGGCACAATCATGTAACCAAGCAAAGGCTAATTTATAGTTTTGTTTGTCCTTTTCTTTTGCTGAATAATCAGCTCTCCTCGTGGAAAATGTTGCAGACGCATATTTGATCCAGTGATTCAACAAACTACCTCAAATTTTCCTTCACTGCCTCTAAAAACCAAGCTTCTGCATCCCAATCCCGCTTCCCCCCGCAGCTTTACAAGAGCCGGGCGTCTCGCAGCAGTGCGACCAATCGTTCTGATTACTGAGGCTAACTATGCTGCAGACTCCGTCAGCTGTCTAAATATCAGCTGGCTACCTTTTGCATGAGTTGCAGCTCTGATTGGGTTTCAGCATCTGGACCAGGGGCTTAAGGGTCAACTTGAGTAAAGATGCAGAAATAAAAAGAAAACCCTAGAATTAATTTCCTTGTTATTGTCCTCTCAAATATGAATCAGTTTATGGCCTCTTTTCAGTCTAAGCTGTCTTTTCATGGTCATGCTGAATGGTTTGGGGTTCAGGGGTTTATACCAAACTCATTGAGCTGTCATGGGAGTGGCTGTGCTTAAAGAAACACTAGATTTTTAGAAGAACAATAAAAAAGGTTTATTTGTTTGGGTATTGTTAAAAAAGCAGTAACGTCAAGCTGATATCAGTTTGAATAAAATTAACTTTATTTGGGAACGAAATATATTAAAAACAAATTTTACAATTGGAGGTTCTACTTTTGGGCATCTATTCTTCCACAGTTTTTCAGGAGGATCCCTGTTGAACTAAACCAAATTTATTTGGCAGCCTCAAACTGCATGCCCTGTCTGGGTGTGTGTGCTTTGCTCATATTATTCCTCCTTTTTTGTGGACAGATGAAAGTTACAGCGGGGACCTAATTGGTGTGGTGCAGCAGCGGTGCCATAAAAGTTCAGCCGCTCGTTTTAACTGCAGGCCCGCCTGCTGTAAAGCGGCTGTCTGTCTTCTGCTTTCATTTTTTTTTTTTTTTTTTTTTTTACATAACGTCTGCGTAAAGGAAAGGCAGCAGGTCAGTTTGTCTTTAGGATCGGCCACTTGCTGCTCGGTTTAAAATTACAGGGAGGGTAAGGCCGGGTCAAAGGGGAGCCAGGCACGAGCTGTGGGGAGAGGCAATAACATGTTTAATTTTACAAAATTTATGTGGGAATTCTTGGAGTTTACGTCTCTGTTTGTTTGTCTTGGACTCTAAATAAGCACTTGTGCCTTTTCAGCATCTTCTCATCCTGCTCTTTTGATGGTTATTAAAAAACTTACTTCTAATTGGAAGTAGGACTGTCTTTATGACAAGAGAGACAGCACCAGCAAGCAAGGCTTCGTCTGAGGAGAAACCTTAGATGAGTCCACAGGACTATTTACAGTTTTGCTTGACGTAGACCTGCTGCACTAAAGCGTGCTACAGAACCGACCCACTGATGAATCTCCATGGCAATTCTTGCTTCCTTTCAGTTTAGTATGCATATTTAAAGTGAGTCAAGAAAAAAAAACACAGAAAAAGCTCAGAACTGCTTTTTTTTATTTAAAATGCCAACTGTTTGGCCCTTAACGGATAAATGCATAAAATAAGAAAAGACAGTTTTGCCAGTGATGGCACAACTGATATTGATTGCAAATACTACAGTTTTTGCTTTGTAAATGTCTCATATAAGTGGTTAATATACCTTCTTGCCTCAAATTCTTCCTCCAGAGTTTTTAAAGCCTAATCTTGGGGAACTATTTTTTCCCCCCTGATTTTGAAGTCTTCCAAGATAAAGCAAAAATGAAAGCAAACAAAGATTGTGAAAATACAGTCTTATTTTCTGTTAGCTTCTCTGATAGTTTTCAGTCCTTCAACCCACCTCAACTCACCATAAACAACAATTGGACGATTAAGTTTGACAGACAGCTCTCGATTCCTTCTAAGTGGCCTTATTTCTTGCACCTGCCTTATTTCTTATTTTCCTCGCATGGAAATCTGCCCTGAGCACAAGAGAAACCCTGTGTGGTGTTTGATTTCAGAGTCCCAGGATGGGAATTACAAGCCAGACGTGAGCAGCAAGCCCAGAAAGGAGAGGACGGCGTTCACCAAGGAGCAAATCCGAGAGCTGGAGGCCGAGTTCGCCCACCACAACTACCTGACCCGACTAAGGCGCTACGAGATCGCCGTGAACCTTGACCTCACTGAAAGACAAGTATGTCCCTCCAATCTGCCTGTTTCCTCTGGGGTTCAGACATTACTGAACCTCCATTAGCACATTAATGCCATGTTGTGAAAACAGAGGCGCCCTCAGGACAAGAAGAAGGCTTTTCACTCGCTACTGTGTTTTGCTAACTTCATGGCGGGGGCTCATTGCGCTCCAGATGTGGCTGCGTCATTGGGCGATCCTATTCCAGATGTTCCTGTCTATCGTTTCAGGAGGCTGTAGACGGGGTTGGAGGAAGTGCTGTCTAGCAAGTGGCTTCCACTTCCCTACTACCTCTGCAGCTAAACTTCGGCCTCTGAGCGTGGGCCGATCTCCGTAAAACACAACGATATGAAATAAATAACAGGAGACAAATTGAGGAAGGAAGTGGCCCAAAGCTTGTTGCTCTACTGCAACCTTTTGGAAGCTGTAACTCACACCCATTTGACACGTTGCCAGTGATTCAGGTTGTTAGACGGACAATAGATCCGATGAGAATATCAGATGGAGTTTTTAACTAATGCATTGGACAAATCTAGTTCAAACCTCTCCCATAAACACACTTTTAACCAGATCTTAGTTTCATCGAGCAGAAGTTATTTAGGTTTACCTGTTGATAGACATCTGCATTAATGAATTGGTTATTTAATTCCTAGAATGTAAAATCCTTTTAAAATTGTGTTTTTTAAGACTGTATTCCTAAAGCGGACGATTTAATCACTTAAATTGAATAGTTTCTTCTATTTATATTTATGCTCATTTACAATTTTGACGCAACACACATATTATTATAATTTTTTTTAATATATTAAGTTGAAAGTACACAATATTTTAAAACCTGCTTAAATTATTCAATGTAAAAAGCTGCACTTGTTGGGTTTCCGACTAATTCCTGGCTTCCTGTATAGGCTTTGTGACACCTGCTAAATTTTGATGATAAAAGTCCTTAAATATGTCACAGCTAACAGCAGACACTCATGAAAAGTCACTGTGTTCCTAAAAATATGTCAAAAAGTGCAATTAAAAAAACATTTATTTTGTAGATATTAAAACTAGTTCTCCACTGACTTGTTTTGTAGAAGCGCTGGTGAAGATTCTCAGTCATTCAGGTCATAGTCATTCCAAAAAAAAGTCTTGGATGGGAAGCGAAATGTTTTCAAACTTGGAAACAAAGTCCAGTGGATTGTTTTTTATTTATACATTTTTTTTGGAATGAATATTTTGTACAAGGTTAGGGTGAAATAATACAAGAAAAAGTTTTGTCTTCATGTCAAAATACTATCTTATTTTATGATTACTTTAGTGTCTTGAATAGTTATAAACATTGATATACAGTTAAAGATAGTTTACATTTAGTTTGGTTTTATTGTACTGTCAATGATTTAGTCCTTACTATTAAGAAAAGAAACACTGTATGTTTTGTCAAATGAAATAAAAAACATTCTTGTTATGGTCCTTAAGATAAAGAATGTTTAAAAAGTTTAGGTCTATTAAATTAAAATCATCATCAGCAACTATGAACGATTTGACTGTTTACTGTAAAACATTATTGAATTTACCAAAAAAGTAGCGTTACTCAAGACACACGGCGTGGTCTGTATTCTAACTACTCAATGGGACTTTTATGATCGGTTTTAAATAAATTATTGATGTCCCAACAAAAATAAGCTTAATACAACTTAACAATTCCTCTTTGTCAGTCTCATTTTGTGAGACTTTTTTCTATAAAAAAGAAGTAAAAGGAAACATAGTCATTTTATCCTCTTTACCAATTGCCATCTTTCCTAGAAGCTACTAAAATAATGACTGATATGCATTAAAAACAGCTGCATCTGCATGTACACCTGCAGAGAGGTTCCAGCACAGAAACATTGGAAATGTATATGCACTTCAGATCAAATAAAAGTTTGCCTAGATCCACTTATTATAGAAGCTGTTTCACATCCAAGAGAAAGCAGGACACAGCATCTCAGGGGTTTTAGGGGCCCAAAAGGACAAAAAAGTGATGTTATCTGTTCAAAACTGAGACTAAAATTAGTTAATTTTCTGTGCTAAAGGTGACTTGTCTTTGGTGCATTTCGAAATTTTGAGTACATCTAAGTGTACACTAATGCGCCTAGCTCACAATTAAGAGTCAGTGTGTAAAGGTATAATGATTTTAAAAAGGCACAAACCTTTAGATTTAGATTCGGTTTCTATCAGCACTTTATTTGTACTTTCTTGCTGCCATAGATTTGTTACCTGGTAACCTGCAAACCAACCCCTAAAGGAAAATAATACGATCAAACTCAGGAACATCTCCTTTTTCAGTGTTTTACATGGAAATGCCTCTAGAATTAAAATTAAAAAGATGAGAATAACAACAATCAGCTGTTATTGAATATATAGCTCTTCTACTGTCTGTTAGCATCACCGTTTATGGGTGAAAGGCATTATGTAGATAAAAAGTCCAAACTGTCTTAAAAAAGCTTTGCTTCAAATTTTCTTTTAAAGTTTTTTTTACTGTTTCTTCATTGAAATCCGTAAATATGAATACTAAAGTGAAAAAACGTAACAGAAGATTTATGATTTTCAGATCGTGACTCAGAAATATTTGCCTTTTTCAGGCAAGTTATAAACGATTTTTGAAGCAATTCAAAGCTCTCACATTCTGAAGACACCTGCAGAGTGTGGCTTTGAATAGTCAAATACATCAAAAAATCAACGTAATGCTCCCCTTTTGGTTTGAATTACAAAGTTGCAGAAGCTTAGGAAAAAAAACTCCTTTTCAGTCTTCATGCTAACTGAGTGCAGAGAGTTTGCCATCCTGCAGCGCACTCCCACATTGTTGCAATTAATCTTTCTTTGGCGTCAAAGTCTGCATACATTTTTGTATTTTGTCAGCTATTGCAACATACGTTGACTGTGTGTGAGTTTTGTCTGGAACCACACGTAGTAGGAGATTCTGAGGTAAACACTGGCAATAAAATCGGTTGGCCCCGCAGCTTGATTTATGCTGCATGTGCTGTTTGGAGAAACCTGATGGATGTTTAATGTGTTTGGGGTGCTGTGAAAACCGGATTATCTTTGAAGACGGCAGTTAGGAGGCGTCAGAATGGAACATCTCGCATGATGAAAATTTTAATATTTTAAATCTTTACTGAAGTTAACATAAAAATCCCTTAAACTTGAATTTTGAATAGATAATTTTATAACTGCAGTACATTTAAAATGTATGACAACTCTTAAACCGCACTAAGAGAACTTATTCAACTTTTGTCATACAGTTCATGAACTGTTTTTACCATCAGAGGTTTTTTAACTGTTAAATCAAGTTTTACTGAAATGTAGTCAGTCTACACATCTCAGCATTTCTGATACAAAGATTCTGTATTAGGAGTGGGGGATAAATAGTCTAGAAATTGGAAAACATTTACGCCCACTTCAGGGATGGTGCATTGGGTCATTTGGGAGGGGTTTTATTGTATATTGGGAGTTGGTATCTATCATGATATGAACCCCCTCACCCCACCCAAAAAACTAAATCAGACGTTTTCTTACCCAATTTTTGCCATTTTATGATTGAAAACTGATTCAAATCTAAAGGTAACACTTTTTTTTAGCTTTTGCAAATCAAATGTAATAAAGTACATTAAAATAATGCATTATTCCTGACTGACTGCAAATCATGCTGCTGTAGTCTGACCATTAGATGTTACTAAAATTAAGTACTGTAGCTTTAAAACTGACAAGTTCAAGTTATTTTCATGTCAATATGACTCAATACACAGCAAAAAAAGAAATCTAAATAAGTCATTTCTTCTTAAAATAAGTGCATTTTTTCTTGAATTAAGGATTTAAGTGAGACTCTTTGCCAATGGAACAAGACAATTTACGCTTAAAATAAGAAAAAACAATTGCATTGTCTTATTTCAAGTGCATTTTATCTAGATACCTTATTTTAAGAGTAAAAATACTAATTCCATTCGCAAATCTGCTCAAATTAAGGGTAAATACCCTTAATTCAAGACATTTTTACTCATTTTGAGATCATTTTTGCAGTGTACAAATTATTCAACTGTTTTATATCTAAAATAAAAACTTAATGACGTATTTACAATGAGTTTAATCATATTATGAGCAAACTGTATGAGGGTAAAGAAGCACAAAAAGAAAAAAACCTCTTCTTGGATCCCTTTTTCCATTTTTAAGAAGGATGGGAGACTGGTTTCAAGATTCAGATTTACTTTTAAGTTTAAAGTTCTTCTAGTAATGGTGTTTGTTAATAAAAAAAAAAAAGATTTGAAAGATTTTTTATTTAGTCTCAAAATTCTTGTAGTGATGGTGTTAATTAAATCCCAAATGAGTATGTTGAAATTCTGAGCTTGATGATTATCCCCCACCCCTAATATTTTACGTAAAATTACACAGTACAGCCTGCCCCTGTGTGAAACCAGAGCCAAAAACATGTTGCTGCAGCCTCTCATCTTCTTCTTTCAAAAAGCAGCCAAGGCCTGTAAAGAATCCGTACTGATACTCAGCACCCTGCACGTTCAAGACAAACGTTTGTGTTGTCAACTAACTTCCTGACCTAGTTATGGCCCCATCCCCTTTGGAATGACGCTCCCCAAAAATAAACCCCCCTCCCCCTGTGTCAGAGGGGCACATTTGGCTTCACACCACACCCCCCCACCCCCTTCAGGGTCCATGAGTTGACCCTCTGGAAGCCTCTGCTGCTTGATGCGTAAACCGTTTTAAGCAACAGCTTAATCATCACTTTGAGAGACTCAAATACGGTAGAGGCTGTCGAGTAAGGGGAAAACAGGTAGATGCAGAGTGACAGGTGGAGCTGTACGTCCACATAAGTAATCAACCTGAGAATAAAAATCTATTATTCAACTTTATTGTCTTACATCTTTAAAAGCTTGATGGTTGCAAAAAGACGCAAACCTTTAATAGTTATGATTTGATAAACTGGGACAAAAAAAAGGGGGAAGATTGGTGCAAATAATAGACAATTGAAGCTTGCTTTGAGTTTAGGAAAGGAAGCAGCAGCCAATCTGACCAACGTTATGAAAGTGTTTGTTAAAAGCTGTCTTCAAAAGATGGCATAATGACTGCTCTTCATCAACTATTAGATTATTAGGTCATTTTCAAACCTTTTCCAACCCATCATTCTGTAGATAGAAAGATTCATCCGAATTGGAATATATTTAAAACAAATGCCCATACTGCCAGGATTGGATGTTCCAACCATTTAATCCCAAGCTCAGGCTGTGCATTACTCAGAGAAAGGACAAAAACCCCAACAGCTCCGTCTCAGACTGTAGAGCCCCTCTGTAATTACTGAAAATAAAATGGCCCAATGTCTTGATTCCTGCTGGGTGAGCCGTTTTTGAATGTTATATGAGTTTGGAGGCTTTGAAAACGGGAATATATTTTATAAGGTGGCAGCAGGGAGGCTCCAAAATGAAACATGTTGAAAGCTCATCAACCTGGGAAGGCTTATATGGTCATAAGGTAATCTCTAATGAACTTAAAATCTATCATTCTGAAGTGGTAGAGATGTTTTGCAATAGGAAAAAAATGCGAATTTGGAGCTTTTGTTGGGATTTCTTGTCATACTCTATAGGGGTAACACATTTTTAGTAACATTTATCGCATAACAAATGTTAAAGTTCTTGGCGGGACAATAACAAGAACGCTAAATGTGTTAGAGTTTTTTTGTAGGAAACAGCGTGTTTTTTCTAAAAACAGAATAGTATCATTTATACTGTAAGAGATGCCCATAAATTCACAGTATAAAGTACTGTATTAATTTTAATGAATTTTCTGTCATTTGTTTTTCTGGATCTTTCAACAGTATTTATCATAGCCGTTTAGGTAAGAGAATTCTGACAACTCAACAATGGGCAACATTTTATAGTAATTTGGATTAGAGAAAGATTAAGAGAGGAACAAAAACAGATACGTTTTTTTTTTTCTTTTTTTTCTACAGAATTTGTTTTACCAGAAAAAATCTGTAAAAAAAAATTAGAGAAGATCCTGGAAGATAATTACAAGGCCCATAACTGTTTTTGTTTTTTTACGTACCATTTTTAGAATAGAATAGAAATAGAATAGAAAATCCCTTTATTGTCCCACAGTGGGGAAATTCTGGTGTTTACAGCAGCAAAGAGAATATAGAAAAAAACTGTCACAGAAATGTGGACCTTAGAAAAACTTAGGTTATAAACGATCTAGGTTACAAAGTAACATCTAAATTCATAACTTAAACTTTAAAGGGATTTCTTACTTAATCGATGAAATCAGTTTCTCCATAAGTTTCTCCATAAGGGGCAGCATCATCATTAGCCCAGACAAACCCTTTAAAACTAAGCTCAGGTTAAAAGTAGAACTAGTTTTAAGCTAGCTGTAGTACTACATGGTGTTGCCAGTGATCGAAGTACAATTACTTTGTTACTGTACTTAAGTACACTTTTTAGGTATCTATACTTTACTCCATTACTTATTTTTCTTCCTATTTCTGACTTTTACTCATTACATTTTCACACAAGTATCGGGAGATGGAGACGGAGACCAAGACCTCCCTCATCCTTGTCCCTATCTCAAAGGATTTTTCAAAATAGTTGAAAAATTTAGCTTGCAATTCATATAGTGGCCTCTGGCTGTTTTTTTTAAAGGTTACTCTATATGTTTATATTTTAAGTAGTTTTTGGAGCACATACTTTTTCACTTTTACTTGAGTAAAGAGGTCAAGTTGACACTTTAATTTTTACCAGAGTGTTTTTAAACTGCAGTATCTATACTTCTACTTAAGTAACAGATCTGTTTACCTTTGACACATCTGGGTGTTGCAGTTGCATTTAAATCTTCTGTATAGCCTGATATTACATTTTCAAATGTGAAGCCATCTGCCAAATAAGTTTGGTCAAAACTAGTTGATCAACTGGTTAATTTCTCAAACACTTTCTTTTGTATTGATTTCTCCAACAATAAAATCAACTGCTGAAATAAAAGGAAGTTTGTTTGATGGCCAAAGCAAAGGTTATTATTTATTCTTTATTCCAGCTTTTATTGTCATTAAACTGTCACAAGTAGGGAGCAATGAAATGAACTCTCTACATCTAACCCATCCCCTTGGGGAGCAGTGGACTGCCATTGTGCGGCAACTAGGGAGCAGTGTTGATGTTAAGGATCTTTGCTCAGGGACCCAGAGTGGCAGTCTGTGGGAGTGGGGCTTGAACGCCAACCTCAGGATTCCAAGCTCTATGCCCTAACCACTAGGCTGCCACTCCCCTGAAATTACTATTTTTTATTGTTATTTTTGTCTTTTATATTTTTATATTCAGACTTTATATTGGTCACTAATGGTATTGGTGGTTATAGAGGACTTGCATCTAGACAAACTGGTGGCAGGAGTAAAGTAAAAACAAAGATGTTTGATATTAAAAAGCAACAAAAATGTCCAATATAAAATAAATCCCAAAATGTGAACCGGAGATCATGAAGCTGTATAACTCCACAAAGAAAAGTAGCGGTGGAGGGGAGAATTAAATACAGTAAGATTAGCTAAATCAACTAACCTAAAGAACCAAATGGGAATATATCCTGGGGAGAAATGATGAGCAGAACAATAAAGGGAGGAGACTAATGAGCAGAATGGAAGCAGCGGAGAGCGCGATCAGAAAACAGACGAAATCAGACAGGAACTAAACCCAAACCTGAAGCTAATAAGCTGCAGACAAAGAACACAACTAGATATAGCAAAAACCTTCAACCAACCACAGACTGGGAAACCATTGGGAAATAGGAAGTGAACAAAGCATAACAACAGCAACTTCTAAATCAAACGGAAAGCTAATAGAAACCAAAAAAATCTCTAACAAAACACATCAAGTTACCCAAACATGATGGACAAAGTCCATTACATGAAATCCTGATTGAAATATTCTAGTATGATCTTAAAGGAGCCATGATAAGAGAAGAGTCTGCTTAACTTTTTTTTAGACTGATGAAAGACTAATACACTCTTATTGCTTTTCTATTTTGGCTCTATTTTGAAAGGAGGGAGTCTTTTGAGTTTTTGCACATTTGATGTTAGATTTCAGCATCTTTAAAACCTGTTTTTCTAAAGCTGTTATTGGAACTGAAGAAAATAGGTGAATATTATGAGACAGGTTTGAATATTTCTCCCTGTTATACTCCACAGGTGAAAGTGTGGTTCCAGAACAGAAGGATGAAATGGAAAAGAGTGAAAGGTGGCCAGCAGGGTGCAGCTGCTCGTGAGAAGGAACTGGTGAATGTGAAAAAAGGAACACTTCTGCCATCAGAGTTCTCCGGCATTGCGGCGCTCCATCACTCCACGGACTCCTTGGCCAATGAGGACAGTCATGACAGTGATCAGAGCTCTGAGCATGCTCACTTATGATGCACAGGCACACACACATCCGTCCCCTCGTTCGCCTCGGGACCTTCCTTAGAAGGAACTGCTGTTGGAAGATTCCCCATGGCCATTCAATCAAACAACGAGGAGGGATATTTGTTTAAAAAAATAGCTGCAGAAATGATGTAATTATTTTGCTCCTAACAGATTTCTTGTTTTTTTTTTTTGTTTTTTTTCATTTTTTCAACGCACCTAAATGTTTTAAAAAGAATCTTATCATTGAACAAGATAACCTGATTAAATACAAAAATAACTTTTCAAATTTATTTCATTTTATTATAAAACAAAAATACTATCCAAGCCAACCCGATCCTACCGGTACCTAAAAATGTAATTTCCCCAGAAGTCAGTGGTTGTTCTGCCTTTGCTGTCAGCAACCCTACCAAGCAAAAAATAGGTTGAAAATATATTGAAAAAATAACATGATTTTAATCTCCATTTGGTTATTAAGTGAAAGGTAAAAAAAATGTTGTAATTTTTCAGATAGTAACGTCTACTATTGGACCAAAGTGGAACAAAATCAGACCGACCAAACAGCCCAATTTTAAACAACTATTTCTGGACTAACCTCTGAATGATGTCTGGTATTTGGGGTGGACACCCATCGCTGTGATGGAATGTTGAATTTACTTTCACGATGGGCAACTGTGGAGTTTGCAGGAGGGTTGATGGTTCAAGCCCTTATCTTGTCGTTGGGCAAGACACTTCACCTGCTTTGCTTACTGATGGTGGTCAGAGGGCCTGGTGTTATCAGCCTGGCTTCTATCAGTGACCCCAGGGCAGCTATAATCTAAGATGTAGCATGCCATCATTGTGCAAATGAATGGATGAATGACTGAAAAGCGTAAAGAGCTTTGGTCAAGATTCCTGACTTGAGGTGGATAGATCCAGGCAGGTAGATTAAACTATTTTGCAAGTGCTATATAAGTACAGACTATTTTTATCCTAGAATTGTTTTGTCTGAAACAAAAAAAATAGCAGGATCCCTTCCATGTTTGAAAAGGTGTTTCTCATCTGTTTTTGTAAAGTAGTTCATGGTGCTTTATAGATTTCTTGGCCCGCTTATGATTGTCTTACAGATTTATTTAAGTCATTTCGTAAATCTAAAGTCAATGCAGTAATCCGGCCTGGGTTTTGTAAGTGAAACTTGATTCAACTGGTCAGCTGTTTTGACCAGTTAATCAGTGCATTTCATTTTCTTCTTGTGATCAGGTTGGCTTGGATACCTTTTTGTCTTTAATATATATATTCATAAATCCATGCATTTTGTAATTACTCAAGTTGTCTTTGTCTAATGATGGCTTAAAACATTCAGGTATGAAATACAAGCAAAAGCAAATCTTTGAGGAAGTGAAAAGCTTTTTCCCTGTATTGCAACTGAACTATGGAAATTGGCTAAAAGGAAATCATACTTAAACATTCCATGTTTTGTCTATTTGCAGGAGCAGCCTGAAGCTTTGATTTGCACTGTTGAACCAAAGTCTGTGCCTCAATCGGTTTCTACTGTTTAAAATGTAAATTACGCTGTAATTAAGTGTTTGACTCAACCAGGTGCCGGGAAATCTGATACACCTGGCAAATATAAGCGAACTGTAAATAATTCTTAGTTTTGTCTTACTGTAACAATAAGCCTATACCCAGACTGTTCAGCTCTTGCAGCATTATACACTGACAGCTTGTTAGCTGACATTTTTCTGCCTGGAGATACCTTTTTTGCAAATGATTTGAAACGTGACACATGAGACAGTTGCAAAGAATAAAACATTAAGAGTGGTTTATAAAGTGTCTTATATAGAACTTTTTCACTACGCCCTTCTGCTAAAACAATTTTTGCAGCATTTTTTTCATGTGAATTAATCTAGTGTTGAATATATATTCCAACACACAAGGCTAAAATTAATGAAACATTGCAGAGTGCAGAAAGCTGGCAACGTGGGCGCATGTTAAAATCACCTTCGCCCGAGGGCTGGGCCGGGACTTCTGCCAAGACTCGACAGAACCCACAAAGGATGGGATCCTGTTACCAAATCCAGTTGAAAATAATTTAGAGTCTTGATCTCATCTTTCACCGCGTTGTGATTGTGCATGCTAATTTGTCTTAGAGGCACCTCACGCAGTATTTGAGGTTTATAATTTTTTTTTCTTTTAGCCCCTGCAGACATAACCCTCTGATCCTGAATCTGATCCCACTTTTTTTTTTTTTTTTACATTACCACTGCAGATTATTCACAAGCGATGAGGGCTCCCCTCTTTTTCCACTTTGATTTAAATTTGAACAAACATTGTTTGTAACCACACAGAAATGAGCCCTTGTTAGCTCTGTTATAACCCCGAACTCCTGACTGTCAGCTGCTGTCCGTACATCGAAAATGTAAAGAATGCATATCCTGAAGGTAATTAGTGTGCAGATTTAAATTATTTAAAAGGCCAAAGTGTGCTGATTCGACTGGCTTTCTATGAATTTTCACAGTAAAATCAATTAGGGTTTAGTTTGGGTTTTTTGGCTCATTTTATGGTTGTCATCCAGAATGACATTGCACAATACAGGCAAACATAGAAAAAGTTGAAAATATTAAGTTGAAAGCTTATAGTAACAGCAGGATGATTGCAGATAAAAAAAATAATAATTCACTGCATTTAAATCCATGCTTATTCTAAAGTCCATGTATTTATGACGATATGATGTATTCTGTGTGGAGTCCCCTTAATAGCCCTCTAAAGTTCACAGTGTTGTTGATCATCAGCAGATTTGCAGTGGCTTGCCAAAATATTTAATATTTTATGTGATAAACCAACCATAATTTGTGGATAAAAGTGAACTGGAAGGACAGTGATACCAAGTTCCATATAAGTAGCGTCATATAGATGAGTTATGCAACCATCACTCTTTTTTTTCACATTAATTCGTTTCATGAGATAATCTTTCCACGTTCAGCTTTAATCCCATTAATGTTTGTTGGTCAAGTTTAGAACCAGTCATATAACTCTAACTGACTGACTAATCCAGAACATATCAATACACATACTGCTTGTACATTTTCCATATAAAAGTTTACCACTAATTAATCATAACCTCTGAAACCTTTCATTCTGTCTTTAAGATACAATAGTTACAGGATTGTAGCTCGTGATAATAGAATGTTACACAGTTTTTACTTTTTTACAATCAAAAAGTAATGGCTCATTGCCTGCAAAAAAATAAAATAAAATGTATATTTTTCCTAATCTATCTATGCAGACAGCTGTCCTGTGTGTCAAAGGGTGAGAGGTGGGGTACACCCTGGACGGTCTGTCAGTCCTTCGCAGAAGCAATAGTAGAAAGGAAAAACTCCTTTTTAACAGAAGAAAACTCCAACAGAACCAGAAACAGTGTGAGCAACCTTAAACCCGAGATTGACTAGGGGTCCAAGGAAACAGAAGCAGACATACAAAACTAACATAGAACCACTGATCTATATTTTCTATGTTACAAAATGTAACATTAAACTAGCTCCACGGGTGGCTCTGTCTGGGAAAGAGCTCTGAGCCAGTTTCCATGTCAAAGGGGTGAAAGAGAGCCCATAGCTATGTCTAGGAGAGATTTAGAACTAAGAACTGAAAGACAGACCCAACTCAATCATCTATAATCTAAGGTGTGATGGCAGCAGCCCAGCTGATGTTTCTCTCCAGGATAGTGTCACAGCTAAACAGGAAATGACAGATGAATCTACTATGATGAGAAAGGCGGAACATAAATTTAGAGGTTGAACTAACAAATACAGAAGGAAGAATAGAGATTTAATAACGCAGAATGATGGAAGGGGTCCCTATGTCCTCAAGCAGTCTAAGCCTTTAGCAGCATAACTATAGGGATAGCTGAGGATCATCTGAGTCGCTCTAACTATAAGCTTGAACAAAAAGGAAAAGTTTAAGACTAGCCTTAAATTTAGACAGGATGGATGTCTGGCGGATTAATACTGGTAGTTGGTTCCACAGGAACTAAAAGATCTGCCTCCCATTCAACTTGAGAAATTCTAGGAACTAGGCTACTAGATTAAGAGCAAGGGGCTCCATTAAGAACATGAGGAATGATCAGATCCCCGATATAAGATGGAGCTTGGTTATTTAGGGCTTTATATGTGAGAAGGAGCATTTTAAATGATATAGAATTTAAAAGGAAGCCAATAAAGAGCAGATAAGATAGGACAACTATGATCTCTCTTTTAAATTATCATAAGATCTTTGGATGCAGCATTTTGGATCAGCTAAAGACTTTTAACTACAGTTTGTGGACTGATACAAAAGAATTGCAATACGCTAGCTTTGAAGTGACAAATGCATGGAGTCCATGGACTAGTTTCTCAGCATCGCCCTTGGAGAGAATATTTCTCATTTTTGCAATATCCTAGAGATTTAAGAATAAAATTCTACAAACCTCTTTGATATGGCATTTAAATGAAAGTTGTTGATCAAACATAAATAACTCCAAGGCTTTTGACTTTATAATCTGAGACCAACTTAATCCCATCAAGATGAAGTGACTGATTAGCTTCTTTTTCATACACGCTGGTCCAAAGACAATAACTTCCATTTTTTTCTGCATTCAAAAGCAGAAAGTTAAGAGTTATCCCAGTTTTTATATCTTCAAGACATGCCTGCAGTCTATGTAATGGGTTAGTTTAATCAGGACTAATGGACAAATATAGCTGAGGGTTTCATCAGCAAAGCAGTGGAAACTAGAACAGCCAACATGGAACAGATTGTTCCTTGGCATGAGGGACACCTAATAAAAATTGCAATTTCCAAAATATCATGTCACACGCACACACACACACGCAAACACAGACTCTCATAAAAAGAAGAGGTAATTAATTCCATACTGTCTGATCCTTTTACCTTGTGGGAAAAAGACAACTGGCCCTAGCAATGATACCTGTGGTACTCCACAGGTAACCCTGGTGTCATGATCACAACTGCGGTAGCTGATCTAATTACTCACTTCATTCACCTGCTGTTCCCTCCCTGCGCTCTACTTATTATTCATCTTATCCACCTGTTCGGCCTGCTTTATATACGGTTCAGCCCAGCTATCAGGGCCAGATCATTATCCTTAGTTATTCATTTGTATTCGTGTTAATTGTTCATGTTTGTTTGTTTTTTAGTTTAGTTAAGTCCGTGGTTCATGTCCTGACTCTTGCAGACCAGTGTGTATAGAGGGTGTTAGTGCTTGTCTCCTGTCTCTTGATCATGTCCCCATTCTTGTCCGCTGAGACCTCGGGGTTTTGGCTCGGCATGCGGGGGGAGCTTGGGTTCTGGCATTTCTCTGCGGAGGCCTCTGGTTTTCGTTAGGAGTGTGGGGGAGGCCAGTTTTAATTCCCATAATCCTGGCTTCTAGAAGGAATACAGTTTAAAGTTTCTGCAGTTATCCGGTTACCACGTCTTGTCTCTGTTCCTCTCAAACACTGGGCCTGCCAGTCCCCATCTGAGCGTCTTTGCCTGAGCTCACTGCTGGACTCATTGAAACTCTGAACCTTCCTGAATGCTCTGTGGATTCCTGGAACGCTGAATCTGTCTGTTTCTGTTCAGATCGGAACCCCTGGTCAGGCTACGGACTCCTGGATATTAGAGCGGTCCTTTTCTAAACTGTTTCCCTGTTAATAAACTACTTACTAATCCCATCTAATGAAACTAAAGCTACAAAAAGCAAAGGACCAACATGCTTTAAAAGCCTTCAGAAATAATTGGATATAAATCTTGTGACTTTGCTAAATGTCTTAGCAAAGAACGCACACACATTTGCTTTAAACATAGCAAGTGATAAACTATAAGACTAGGTTTATTATTTCTTTTTCTAAGTTCCAACTTGGCAGACATCTAACAATGTAGTAGTTGTGTTCAGGTCTGTCTGAACAAGAGCAATTGGACCAGTGCAACACTGTCAATTTACCTTTCTCAGTTTGAGGCTTTTTAAAATAAAAATATGTTGGGATGTCACAGGTAAAGGCATTTCGCATTATAGCCCCATGTTTTTGAATAACTATTGATCCTTCAGACACATGTTAGGCTGTGACACCACCCTGGAGAGAAATATCAGCTGTGCTGCTGCCATCAAAACCTTTGTTTCTAGATGTCGGAAATCAGCCTGTTTTTCCAGTGTAGTCCTGTTTCTCTGACTGGATGGATATGCTCTCTTCATCCTCTGACATGGGAGTTGGCTCAGAGCTTGTTTGCCTGGCCATGTGTTTCCTGGACCAGGCCGCCTTTCACAGCAGCTTTCTGTATGTCTGCTTCTGTCTCCTTGAAACCCAGTTGACCTCAGCAGATGGCTGCTCACACTGAGCCTGGTTTTGCTGGAGGTTTCTTCCTGTTAAAAGGGAGTTTTCCTCTCCACTGTCGCTACAAGCATGCTAAGTGTGAGGGATTGCATCCGAGTCAATGAGTCGATGCAATCAACTGGTTTCCTTAGATAAAAAACTTTGAATCAATTTGACTGTATGGTCTGGTGAACTGTAAAGTGCCTTGAGATGATGTGTTGTTAAATGGGGCTATAGAAATAAACTGAATTGAATTGAATGCCTCATCATCGATTCATTTTCTCAGCAAATAGTCACCCACTATAATCAATGGGAGCCTTTACAGTTCCCCCAGACCAGCACAGGGTATTAGTGAGCAGACAGCCAGGCAGCAAAAAATCCCAATGCAACAAAAGGAAATTATAAGATATCATGATATAATATCATATAATTTACTGATGAAGGACTTGATTTAGTTAGTGACCATTCACACAGACTCTATAATGTGTACATCCTCCATTTAATCCCAAATAGAGGTAGTTTTAGTAAATAGGATATACCCACCAACTCCTTGGCATTGTGGCATGATCAACAGCATCTATTCTAAAAGACCCAACTGTTGTGTTTTATTTTCAGATAATAATCTGAATGGGTCTCCTTAGGATGGTCAAAGTTTAGGTCCTGTACACAAATTTCCTTTAAAGTAACCCTGTTGTAAACTTTCTTGCATGTTTCTCTCTGACATGTCTGACATGTTCCTTGGGCTTCAAAATGCTGTTTGTTTACAAATGCAAGCTCTGATGCCTTCACAGGACAGCTATTGTTATACAGAGATTAAAAAACTAATAAATTGACTGTGGTTATTCTTGCCAGCAATTAGCCATAATTTTTCTGATCATAAACTGCAAAAAAATGAAATGATGCAACATTTTTATAAGACGTCACAATAATTTGCTGCTATTTTTGATCTTTCATACCTATAACCAGGGCCATAACCAGGATTTTTGACATACCGACGTCGAATATTGCGATAAATCTTACTAGACAAAAAAACATCCTAGTATGGTGACTTTTTAAAATATATTTTGGAAACTCGAATAAAGAGAGTTAAATCACAAGCCCATCGAGGAGGTTAATATGAACATGTTTATTATAACAATTCCAAAACTCACAAAATTATTAGCATTTGAGTGAGTGAGTGAATGAGTATTATTAAAGAGGTTAAAGGACCATGAATACTTTTTCCACAGCAACAAGACCATTCCCAAAATATATTACAGCCTACAGGGTGTAGATTTTGAGGATTATCAGATTATAACTTTGATATGAAGAAAAATACAGTATGTGTGCAACATTACTCCATTTGCGTCATGGTTAGATAACTTGAGTCTTATCAGTTGGTTCTGTACTGACTCTTACAAATGTATTCATGGTTAATAAATAAATAAGTGGGCCAGTTTTTTTTTTCGTTTTTTTTTAATAATAACTGCTGTTTTTTTTTTTTTATCTAAAAATGGATTTAATAAAACAAACATAACACAATTGCTGGCAAGATCTGGTATTGTACGGACCAAAATAAAAAAAATATACAAATATAAATGCAAAAGAAACCCTGTTTATATTTATATTTTTAAGCATATAATTTAATCTTTAAATCCTTTGACGACTTATCATTTGGTGCATTGATCAATTTTTGATTATATATGAATATATTAAATAATGTATGTTTACAATACACATACACATCGAACAGATTATCATCTTTTTTATTTTTTTTTTTCTGTCCTGTCTGGCAATGTGGCAATAAGAATAATTGTCTTGATGCCAAAAAGAGCCCAACAGAGTTTACTTTCACAAGTGGAGCAGAACGTCTATTGTCATAGTGTTCCGCTTGATTTATGCATATAAATAGCTTTATTATACTTATGCAGGGGGTATTACAGATTATAAGGACACTCCAATGTAAATAGAACAGGAAAGGAAAAACAGAATAAAAAAGGACAAAAGATGAAAGAAAGAGGAGATA